GCAGTGGACTGTCTTTATTCTTATTTTAATGTTTATTTTTATCTTTTTTCTTTTTCTGTGTGTGTGTGTGTGTGTGTGTGTGTGTGTCTGACCTCTCCTCTGCTCCACAGGTGATGGAGGTGTGTGTGTGTGTGTGTCTGACCTCTCCTCTGCTCCGCAGGTGATGGAGGTGTGTGTGTGTGTGTGTGTGTCTGACCTCTCCTCTGCTCCGCAGGTGATGGAGGTGTGTGTGTGTGTGTGTGTCTGACCTCTCCTCTGGTCCGCAGGTGATGGAGATGTTTGTGTGTGTGTGTGTGTGTCTGACCTCTCCTCTGGTCCGCAGGTGATGGAGGTGTGTGTGTGTGTGTGTGTGTGTCTGACCTCTCCTCTGGTCCGCAGGTGATGGAGGTGTGTGTGTGTGTGTGTGTCTGACCTCTCCTCTGGTCCGCAGGTGATGGAGATGTTTGTGTGTGTGTGTGTGTGTCTGACCTCTCCTCTGGTCCGCAGGTGATGGAGGTGTGTGTGTGTGTGTGTGTGTGTCTGACCTCTCCTCTGGTCCGCAGGTGATGGAGATGTTTGTGTGTGTGTGTGTCTGACCTCTCCTCTGGTCCGCAGGTGATGGAGGTGTGTGTGTGTGTGTGTGTGTCTGACCTCTCCTCTGGTCCGCAGGTGATGGAGATGTTTGTGTGTGTGTGTGTGTGTGTCTGACCTCTCCTCTGGTCCGCAGGTGATGGAGGTGTGTGTGTGTGTGTATGTGTGTGTGTCTGACCTCTCCTCTGCTCCTCAGGTGATGGAGATGTGTGTGTGTGTGTGTGTTAGGCTTGCCGCGATACACGGTGTTGACGGTGTTACCGGTTTTAAGCCCCATCACCGGTGACATCACTTTCCCACCGTGACACCGCGATGTCTTGACTTTTTTAAAGTATTCGTTTTTGCTAAAATATTTATTTGAATTAATTAAAAATAATAATTATCAATTATTTAGTTCAGAAGAGAGCATACATTATAATTAAAAACTGAACTGCGCAGTGCGTGCCAAGAGCCAGTCACGTCACAGATCAGCAAGCATCAGGAGTCAAATTCCATTTAGCACGTGTGGAGATTTTATATTCGTCTCTTAGACCCCATTTACACCTGGTATTAAAATGAGATCTGTATCCAGATAAGTTATCCGGATAATAAGTGTTCTGATCTTACCGATTCCATTTACACCTGGCCACATAAATGTGTTTTTGCAAAACGGATATAAATCCGACTTCAACTCCCGCGCTATGATTTAATGGATTGCACGTCAACGAGGCAACAGAGGTGAGCTGCATTTTATTGATCATCAGCTCATTTCAAAATCAAAGACAGCAATAAGAAAAAGTGACAACAGCCCTGGTAAGATAATTTCGTTTTTTTACTTGAAGATGATTGTGTGTTAAGCGTCTGTGACTTACTTTCACTTTTATTTGCGATGTTTGCACGTTGGCTTGATGAATAGACGCTCAGCTGCTCATCTGCGGTAATGCGTGTTGCAGTAGCGTCGTCATATCTGACATGAAATAGCCTATAACACTCTCACACGTTTATTTTTTTTAGCATTTTTGGGAGGAGTAAAATATACATATGTGGTTTCAACAACCAGATTGCGTTTACACCTAGTAAAGATCCGAACACAATGCAGCCAGACTACCTCCAGATGTGGTCAGGCAGATCCGATCACAATCCGATCACAACGACACCTTGCATTAACATGCGGTTTTTATTATCCGGATAACTTATCTGGATACAGATCGCATTTTAATACCAGGTGTAAATGGGGTCTTATTTATTTGGTTTTATCTTATTTAAACTTTGTGTAATTTATTTAGGCCTATTTTATTTTCTTATTCGTTAATCAACGTTTTATGGTTCTTATTTGTTTGGGCCCACAGTTTGCCGATTTTCACTTTTTTCAGCCTATGCATGGGGTTATTTTTATTAGTTCGTTATGCTAATAAAAGTTCTGTCTATAAATAAAAGTTTTATTATCAGCGAGCCGAGTTGTTGTTTTTTTGTCCATTCAAGCAATTGACGCTGAATTGCCAATTGACGCTTATTTCGAAAGTGAAAGTATAACGCGCACGCATTTAAAAGCTATTTAACTCCCCCGCCACACGTCACACGTCGATTAACCGGTGGGAAATTTCCTCACCGCCGCAACCCTAGTGTGTGTGTGTGTGTGTGTGTGTGTGTCTGCCCTCTCCTCTGGTCCGCAGGTGATGGAGATGTTTGTGTGTGTGTGTGTGTGTCTGACCTCTCCTCTGGTCCGCAGGTGATGGAGATGTGTGTGTGTGTGTGTGTGTCTGACTGACCTCTCCTCTGCTCCGCAGGTGATGGAGATGTGTGTGTGTGTGTGTGTCTGACTGACCTCTCCTCTGCTCCGCAGGTGATGGAGATGTGTGTGTGTGTGTGTGTCTGACTGACCTCTCCTCTGCTCCGCAGGTGATGGAGGTGTGTGTGTGTGTCTGACTGACCTCATCCTCTGCTCCGCAGGTGATGGAGGTGTGTGTGTGTGTGTGTCTCTGACCTCTCCTCTGCTCCGCAGGTGATGGAGGTGTGTGTGTGTGTGTGTCTCTGACCTCTCCTCTGCTCCGCAGGTGATGGAGGTGTGTGTGTGTGTGTGTCTCTGACCTCTCCTCTGCTCCGCAGGTGATGGAGGTGTGTGTGTGTGTGTGTCTCTGACCTCTCCTCTGCTCCGCAGGTGATGGAGGTGTGTGTGTGTGTGTGTCTCTGACCTCTCCTCTGCTCCGCAGGTGATGGAGGTGTGTGTGTGTGTGTGTCTGACTGACCTCTCCTCTGCTCCGCAGGTGATGGAGGTGTGTGTGTGTGTGTGTGTGTCTGACCTCTCCTCTGGTCCGCAGGTGATGGAGGTGTGTGTGTGTGTCTGACTGACCTCTCCTCTGCTCCGCAGGTGATGGAGGTGTGTGTGTGTGTGTGTCTCTGACCTCTCCTCTGCTCCGCAGGTGATGGAGGTGTGTGTGTGTGTGTGTCTCTGACCTCTCCTCTGCTCCGCAGGTGATGGAGGTGTGTGTGTGTGTGTGTCTCTGACCTCTCCTCTGCTCCGCAGGTGATGGAGATGGACGGCTCGGGCCGCCAGGTTCTGGTGGAGGAGAACCTCCCGCACATCTTCGGGTTCTCTCTGCTGGGAGACTTCATCTACTGGACGGACTGGCAGCGGCGCAGCATCGAGCGCATGCACAAGACCAGCCTGGAGCGAGAGGTCATCATCGACCAGCTGCCCGACCTCATGGGCATCAAGGCCACCTACGTCACGCAGACCTTTGGTGAGGGGGCGGGGCTACACACCAGGGGCGGGGCTACATATCTGGGGCGGAGCTTGCTGCTATAACACACCTACACACGCAAAATAGTTATTGATGTTGAATAATAACCCTTTCTCCAAGCAAAATGTGATTAAAATATGTGGTGAAAAACTACATTACCCATAATGCTGTGCAGAAAATTCCACCAATTAGAGTCGTGCGTGCAAGGCCCAGGCCGGATCTGTTTTATACGACTGATGGAGTTCGTTACACATGAGTGTGTGTGTTAGTACCATAGACTGTATAAAACTGGGCGTAGAGTGTGTGACGTCACCCGTAGTGTTTCTGAAGAGCGTTTCTGAAGCCTAAAGTGGGCGGAGCCGGCCGTCGCCATCTTGGCAGCGTCACTCCCGGATAAACGAACATGTGCAGCGAGGCGATTAGCTGAGGAGACGTGACGCTAACACACAGCAGACAAACGGCTAGCAGTGACATCAGCGGCAATCCACCTGTCACTCAAGTGGCCACGCCCTTAATTATGCACAACTTTAAGGCTTAATATAATTTAAACGTATGAGTTATAAAAAAATCCCCCCCCTCACAGTCGCCATGAAGAGCAAAACTAGCGATATAGACCAAATCCACTTGTCTGACTGTTAGGGGGGTGACGATAACCGCATCACCGCAATATCGCGTTAATGAGATGCCTACCGCGGTGAGGTCATCACGGCACTTTTTTCTTTTTTTTTCTGCTGAAAGTTACAGGAGTGCATATGGTGTGTGATATGAACAATAAACACATTAATATTTGCTTATAATTTACTGTATTCCCAGCGCATTTCATCCTAGGGCGTCATACAGTGACACTTTTGACATTTCGTCTACATCCAACGCACATGGCACCCTTTAGCGTCAACATGAGACGCAGAGATATGTGTTCAAGGGCTTCTGGAGGGAAAAACCCCGCTTTTCTGCGCAAGGGAGGAACAGTCCATTAAACATATGGGGGATTTATTTTTTGTGTGTGTCTGATTATTATTAATTAACTGTTAGGTTTCAGTACTTGTGATGTTTACAGATAATGTTCAATTAAATACACACAAACACAGGACAAAATCCTAACGTAAAAGACAAAATCATAACGTAAACAGTTTAATTGCATGCGATACTTCTCTTATGTGGTATAGGCAGTTGACAGCGCTAGCCAAAAGACATTATTCAAAAAATGGCCATGAATCTAGTGTCTAAGCCAAATACTTAGACACTAGACAATGGCAGGTGACAATGGGCAGCCGGTGAATTTGGACAGTATGAGGCAGTATGCCGTATTTGTCGCAAAAAAGTATCCGTCTCGCGAGGAAATGCCACTAATTTAAGATCACATCTTAGAATTACCCATCCTGTGGCGTTTGCCGGACTTGGGCGCAGCACACCTACAGCCTCAGGCCAGCGAGGGCAGGCGGGAGTCTCCGGGGCCTTTGCGAGAGGTGCGAGGTACCAAAGAGGCAGCGATCAGTGGCGAGTACTTGCTGACAGCGTGACTCGTTATTTGGTAGAAGAAATGGTACCATTCCGTACCGTTGAGAAGCCAGCGCTCAAAGCCATGCTTCAGGCGTTAGATAAGCAATATGTACTTCCTGACCGAAAGTACTTTTCTCAAACCGCGATCCCTGAAAAGTATCTGCCAGTGAAGGACGGCATAATACAGGACTTAAAGACGTTGATCATTTC